TAAATAGATTTTGAAGGCGGAGAAAAAGTAGAGAATAAAAATAATATTTCCACACTGTAAAGTGCGAGAGAATGAGAGAGAGAGAGAGAGAGAGAGAGAAGTTTGTAATGTAACAGAATTGCGTGAATTGATTGAATTAAGGCAAACAAATATTCGCTGATTAGATCACAAAACAGGGCGTATTTCCATTCATCCAATTGTTATGAAACTTATCGTCAAAATTATAAGAGATTGAAAACAACAGAAATTGTTTTAAAAAGCTATATGCAAAATATTAATGTAAAAATATTGATATACACAGAAAAGATATGCAAAACCATTGGATTATTTATTTAGTCATTAAATTGATTAAAAACTCCAAAAGGTAAATGTCTTTCAGATTCTTCGCCAACGTATGTAAAGGCACTCAAAATTATGAATAATAACAGAAATATCTTCCGAAAAAAAATCTATCGGTTTAATGAATGTGTGTTAAAGAGATAGAGAACACACCCAAACATAATGGAGTGATATTTGCCCAAAAGAGTGCCTTAAATGCATGTATTGTCAGTTTGCGGTTGTCTTCAGCGATAAGCGAAACACTACAAGAGTTTTTGATGAAAAAAAGAGAAAGCCATAGAAAATGCTCTCAAAATTCAAATATGTATTTATGTTTTGCAATACACTTATCATCGGTTCGTCAATATTTGGCTTCATTTGGGGAAATATTAATTATGCCCAGTATTGGGACGTCAACGGGAGTTTCATTGGCGGACAGTTAGCCACCATTTGTGTTGGTAAGCGATGGTGTATTTTACCATAATCTATGTTACAATAACTAAAATGCTTGTCAGGGTTCATAATATTTGGTTTGCTCGGACTGTACGCCTCCTACAAGAATAACTACCACATAATGTGTTCGTACGCTGTATTCGTGTTGATGTCGATTCTGTTACGAGTGCTCACATGGCTTCTGGCCTTCTTTCACAACTTCCCACTCAAGACCTGGTATTACGTTTGCCTCACCTTTGAGACCATTATTCTGGTCTTAGCCGCACTCGTTATGCATAATATCAAACAAAACCATTCCGACCATTGATTCACTCACTCGCACCACATTTCGCACATTTTCAAGAATATTGTTATTACTTAAATGTATATAACATTTTGTTTTGTTGTATTAGCCATGCATTGCATTTAAGCTTTAAAATACAATGTATTGCATTTATTAATATAATATAGATCTTCAAAATAATTCAATTATCAAGTTATGACATGCCATTGGTATCAGTCAAACAACAAACTGCGACAATAACTTCTTGTTTGCTTTACTTCTTCACTGGAAGTGTTGTGTGTATTAAAAACATTTCCATTATTTCAAACACAATCCAAACAACTCATAGAGTATTGAATATAAATTAGCAATATTAATAATAGTGTAGAAACATCTTTAAAATTAAATATGTGTAACAATTCAGAACATAAATAGTCCCTGATATTTAATTTGAATAATGCATAAAGCAATAATACTGATCATGACCATTTAATGATTTAAATTAATGTATATTTTATTTATTCGTATATCTAAATTAATGTTTATCATAAGTTTTATGTATATTACATATTAATTCATTCATCGATTGTTTGTAATCTTTTCTAAACAAAGTTTTGTAAATTACATATATTTTGTTGTCAATAAATGTGTGTTTAATTACAAATTTTATATTTTAATAAATGGATTGCAAATTGCAATTAACGTAATTAAGACTGATATTAAGTAATTAAAGTGAAATCTATTGTAAAAACTAATGATAGCAAACAATTATCTAAATTACTGCCAAAAATTGGTCATTAAAATTGTTGAAAATTGTGCATAAAATATGGGATTAAATTATTTTTAGTATAATTTTGACAATAAAAATGAGATCCGATTATTCCTGCAATGAATGTTATAAATGATTACTTCAATAAATTAACAGTTGTTTTTCAGATATCGTAATACATAACAAAACTCATTTGTTTTAAGCGCATAACAAAAGTAAGAAAAGTCTTTATTTCAGTCAATCTGTTAAAAGAGTACATAAAAAGTAACAAAAGAAGTTTTTTAAGTTTATTTAATTAAATAATTTTCATTTGTTTAATGCAATTACATTTGCAAATAAAATTGTGATACAATTTATAACAGCCTAACTAATGATTTTTATAAATTGTCTAAATTTAAGTTTACAAATTAAATTATGTGAATAAGAAGAATACATCAAATGTTATTAACATTATTTAAGATATACTGAGAATTTAGGATATTCTGAACTATTAATAGTTACAATTTAATATGTTATTTGCTAGACATGTACGTAATATTGCATGATGAGACGACTTTATTATTTAATCATAGTCAATTTAACAACTCTCTCTCTCTCTCTCTCTCTCTCTCTCTCTCTCTCTCTCTAACTGTATTAAATGTTGTGTCCACTTTTATCAAGTGTAGATTAAAAAACATGATCAAATCTTTAAACAATTAAAATTTTGTAGAGACGTTTGAGACACAAATCAAAATCCTTATAAATTAAAAATATCAAAAATTCTTTTATTTACAGACAATAGTTTCTCAAATAATTAATCTCTTAGACTATTAAAAATTGAAACGCTTTCTCGCTTTCTATGCATTTTGTTGTGTACTGTATATAATATATTGTTAAATCTATGTTCAAATTATTTCAAAAAAATCTAATAATTAATCATTTTTTGGTCAATTTTAAAGCTACAGGAAATTCATAGAAAATTTTCCACTGAATAAAAATCGGAGATACAGTTGAACTCAAAACCCATTAATTATATTTTGTATACTTCTTTCAAACAGGATATTAGTGTTTAATGCAATATATTTGAAAATCAGATAATTATCACCACAAAAATACATCTCTATTGGCATTTATTTTGGCACTTTAAACAAAATGAAAGCTAATATTTGATTACACAGACAATCATTGGGTGGTATTTATATAAAATCCGTAATTGATTAATGATTTGGTCAACAATTCCCTTCATTTACTAACAGTTAACGCTTTTGAAAAAAATAAAAGTCATTTATGTTTAACATTACCCGTGGTTTCTTAAGTTATAGTATTTAGTATATAAATTAATTAATATAAGGTTTTATATAGAAATAATTACTGAATAAATAAATACATTATTAAAAAAACAATAAACATTTTCACAGAGTGTGAGTTCAACAGTCAGTTAATAAATTTTGTTAAAAGCAAAGAAAAGCAACAAAAAAGGCAAACAAAAAAGATATTTGTTTGGCTGAGAAGTGAAGGAATTGGTGGTTGTGTTGTCTCAATGGTCTGAGGCATCAATTAAATAGGAAGACGGCATTCAAAGGGCAGGTGTGCTGTTCATAGAGCTCTTGCACGAAGTGAAGATTAAGGTATCGCCAAACGAGAGAGAGAGAGAATGAGTGAGAAGATAGATTTGGCCGAAATATGATCGCAAACACTAATACCACAGACTTATGAAATGAAGGCATTGTTAATTTGATGGATC